TGGCCCCAGCCCCAGCCCCGGCCCCGGCCCCCTCCCAGCCCCAGCCCTGGCCCCGGGGAGGCAGCACATACCAGCAGTGCTCCCTGCTTCGCTGCCCTTGCTGCTTCTGCAAAGCAGCGCTGGAACCCAGGGCAGCAGCACGCAGTGGGGGGGCATAGAAAGCTGCCTGCTCCGAGCTCCCTGCTACATTTCCCCTGCAGGCAGCGCAGCAGTGAGGGGCACAACCCTGCACTGCTGCCCATGCTGCTCCTGTGGGCACAGGGGAAATGTGGCAGGGCAGCAGGGAGCAGGCAGCTTTCTGTGGCCCTGCTGTGCTGGGTTCCAACGCTGCTTTGCAGAAGTGGCAAGGGCAGCACAGGGGGAAGCACTGAAGGCATGTGTTGCCTCCCCGGAGCCTGGGGCCAGCGGGGAGAGGCAGCAGCAGATGTTTGCAGCTGGCCCAGGTTCTGGGTAGCTGCTGATAGCCACAGAGCCTGGGCTGCTTGGGGCCAGCTGCAGCCAGGAGGCTACAAACAGCTGCTGCCCTCCTGCCCTGGCCCCGACTGTCTCCCGGCCCAGGGAAGGCAGCAGGTGCCAGCACTCTGTCCATTGGGCCTGGGGAGGCAGCAGCTGTTTGTAACCTCCCAGCTGCAGCGGGCCCCAGCTCTGGGTAGCTGCTGATAGCCACGGAGCCCAGGCTGCTCCCAGCAGGGCTTGCAGTGTCGAAGCTGCCTGCTGGGAGCAGTCCGGGCTCCCAGCTGGCAGCAGCTACCCAGACCTGAGGCCAGCTGAAGCAGGGAGGCTGCAAACAGCTGCTGCCTCCCCAACCCCAATGTGTGCTGAGGAAAATGGCCTCACATACCATGCTCGGCATGCATGCCAGGGGTTGCCAACCCCTGGCCTAGAAGGATAGGGCCCCTCAGCCCCCTGCCTGCGTTTCCCTGCTTATATATATCCACCCCAGGGAATCTTGGAGTGTATCTCTGGTAGCAGGGCAAGCTCAGGGTTTCTTGCTTACAGAGCTGTGCACCAGTGAGATCTGGGGGTGCATCTTCATAAGCGGGAAAGCTCCAGCTTTCCCTACCTATGGATACCTCCTAAGATTCCCCAGGGCATGTCTGGGTAAGCAGGGAAAGCCAGACAGCTGCTTCAGCAGCTTGAGGGGTCTGATCCTGGGGTGTACCATCAAGTCTCCAGAGCACCTGCCCAGGGTGCTCCTGGCTGTCCACGCTCTCCTGCTACCAGCAATCAGATGTCTGCTGCAAAAAAAATGGCACAATCTATCACTACCTTTCCTCGCAGCCAAAAATTTGGAGCATTTATAGTGAGACAAAGGGTAGGGACGTCTGTTTGCTTCACTTTTGTGCCGCCATAAAATGTTTTAATGCGGCATAAAGGCAAGGAAGGGCGAGGTCTGTTTCCACCCTTAGACTCTAGAAGTTCAGGAAGACACAGCTGTATTGGTTTTACTTGGATCACATTAAAAAGGCCATTTCCATAGCCACAAGGGGTAAAGAATGACAAAAGGAACCACCTAACAGCTACATTTTCAAATGTTGCTGAAAAGTGGCTGGGAAAAAAAATTCTAAAATGTGCTACATTTCAAGGGATGAATAAAGAGCCAAGAACAACCTCCTCACAATACCTATTCCTTTTAAATGAATTGAAAAAAAATCACTTCAATGTGCTTAGTATGCATCTGCTAGTACCTGTGCCATCAAATGTTTGTTGCCTCCAGCCCAGGAAGCTGAGGCTGGGAAGAACGTGCAAAAGGAAAATAGTAAATGTCTGGCACAGGGTGGCTACGTCTGGATCTACTGCACCTGTATTCCAGAAGCAATGCAAATACATTGGTGCTAGTACAGATTCAAGAACTAGCACCATTGTTAACATTACTAAACAAGCAGCTCAATATTTTCCAGTGGACAGATTTCACTTCACTGGTAATTTCTGTAAAGACAGCTGGACGTGACAAACATAGGGGAGGGTGTTTCTAGTAAAGAAAAAGGCAGAAGTATTTTTGTTATATAAATGTTGCTGTAATCTAGATCCAAGATGGTGAGGAATCCCACCCTCTGAAGCTTGCAGAAAGCCTGATTGATACAAAGCCCTAGCACTGATACAAAGTGCTGCTCCACAGCTTTGATCACGGACCATGTTTAAACACACTGTTGAGTAAAAAAGTTGTAAGAGGACCAAAAAAATTAATTACAAGATTTACAAAGCACTGAATCCAGCAAAACTGTAAAAGATCTAGTTACAAAGAAAGCTTATGAGGTGCATCCGTTATGCAGTGGTATATAAAGGCTGTCTTACATGAGAGTGATTTTAAAAATGTCCTGTTAACACCAACTAGGCATTAAAAAAAAGCATTAAAATTACATTTAAGTGCTCGACTGATTTGAAGAACTGCTACTATCAAGAGTTTTAGAAGAATGTTCTCTGAGGATTTCCAAAGAACTGGTGATATCCAGACTCTCAGAAGAAATGGGTCTATATCCTTCCGTAGAACTGATAATATCCAACGTTTTGGAGGACTGGGCACTGTAGCCTTTTGAACTGGCATCTCGTATGATGACCTCTTGCATGGACGTGAATGTTAATGGAATAAAGCCTTCGCTGTCTGACGCGAGAACAATCCAACAGGAACCTGTGAGGAGATTAAAATATCCGTTTACAATACTTTTTATCTGCAATTCAATATAATGCATTTACTTGAGGATGACCCCAATTATGAGATGACCCCAATAATTAGATTCTATATATGGAAAATGTATAAATTTGATATGCTTTTCCAGGTAAAGGATTTAATTATTGGCAGTCTGCCTTGAATTTGTCTCCTTCACACTGCTACAGCAGAGAAAATAAATCTGGGGGGTTAGCCCTTTTGCCCGCGGCTTCCCCACAACTTCCCCCTGCATCCCCTTTCCTCCTCTCCTTACTACTGTCAGACCCTGCTCTCCCTGATCACATGGAAGTGAGGAGCAAATTTGAAAACACTACCCTTGAAATAAAACATAGCTGTACTAAGTTGCATATAGTACCCATACACTTAGTTCAAGCAGAACTGAGACAGTTTCAAAAAAGGTAAAATGCAGCAAGTTTTAGCATAATTGCTCCATAACCACACTTCTAAGTAGCACTTGGCACCTACTTATATAATATTAGTCCAAAGCCAAAAGGCTCATGGATTATCACATAGTTCATTGGGCCAGGCTCCAGCAGACTCAACAGCATCTCAAACCATGGTGACCCCACAGCCCAGCAGTGCTCAGTGTACTCCAGATACCCCTCACAAAGGAGCCAAGCGCTACTTACTGCCCGATACTGCCCCCACTCATGACTGGAACCAGGTGTTCTTGTCATGAGTTGTGGGATCCTCCAAAAATTTATATTCAGATGAGGCAGAGGGTAACTTGGTCCAGCTTCACCTCATGGAGGGCAGAGCCACACTAATCATATGTGAGAGACAGAGAGGGCAACAAAGGGATTCTGGATGAACTGTTTGGGGCCCTGTTAGCCAGGCATATGAAACTGGTAAAGAAACAGGAATCATTGGAAATGGGGAAAAAAAAAAAGCACAGCTGAGCTGTAGGAGTCAAAATGTATGCAATGCAGCAGCTCAACATGACTTGAAAAAGAGAGGTGGAGTTCGGGGGGAATGCAATCAATAGGCACTAACATATATCTTACTCAGATGGCCTGCACTAATCTATCCTTGTGACATGTTCCCATCAGCCTCTCAGCCTTTTGGTAAGATCATGCATTTTTGCAACCAAGGTGGTGTCAGGGCTTACTCTGGCCCTCCCAGTGCTGGCCTGATATTGTAGCACCTCTAGGCCTGATGCCAGTTCCCTCCTGGGGGAGCAACTGCCCATTTCTTTTTAAGGGACACTGTCACTGGTAGGTATTGTAAGGCTTTGGGGACCTCTTTATGGGTGCCCTGCCTCCCAGTGATATCAGGGTGAAACCCTATTCTGGTGCCACCTAGATGGTCTGGGTGCTGCCCCCTTTCTTTCCTGCTACGTCTTCGGTGTTATTAGTTGGGGAGGCAGTTCCCTGTTGGGGGCACGGAGGGGTCTCAATCCTGGGGTTGTATTTGTGGGGCTCCAGACCTCCCCTTTACCCCACCCTTACCACACCTTTGGCCTCAGTTGATGCTGCTCCCTGCAGATCTTCCCCACACTGCCCGCCTTGCAAGGGCTGGGTCTTCTGGGCTGTGAACCTTCAGGGGGCCACCCCTGGTTTTCAGGCTGGCTTTCCCCTCTTCAAGAAAAATAAACTTGCCCCTGCTGGGGTCATCCACCACTCAACTGAAAATGTTGGCGCCTGCCGGTGGAGCTCCCGAACTTGCCTTTCTCTCTTTCTCTTTCAGGGCTCCTTTCTCTCCCCCTCCTAGGGGACTTGTTCGTGTTCTCCCCTCTAACAAGCAGGGATACTAGGACCACCCTGGTGCCCCATCCCTACCAGTTCCTCCGGCGTCCCCACCCCGGAGCCCAGCTGACCTGGGGTCCTGTCGCCCTGGTCCCTCTTGCCGGTGTCACTCCTCTCCCCTTTCCCAGGGCTTCTGGTTCCCCGTGCTCTGCCCCCTCCAGAGCCGTCCGAGGATGACTGTGGACTTGAGGGTCTGCCCTCAGTCCCGGTTCCAGGGCTCCTGGTCAGATCCTTGCTGCTCCCCAGCAGCGTCCCACCTGATTGCTGCCTTCCAGCGGAGCTCCTTGGCTCCTGCCAACCCCCAAGCCTGCCTTCTGCCTTGCTGGTCTCCTGGCAGATGGCTGCCTCCTCTGGGAAGCTGGGGCTAGAGCTGGAGCCTCCCAGCTCCTGAGCTGGCATCTCCCAGCTGGTGTTCAGCCTCTCTCTCCGGTTCTTCCCCAGCTGTTTCTCCGGACGCCTTTTGAGCAGCCCATGCTGCTCAGAAGCCATGGCCACGGCTCTCCCCGGTGTGCAGCCTCAGGCAGCTGCAAAACTGCTGACCCTGTGCCTGTGCCAGTGCCTGTGCTCCAGTCTCCTCCCTGCTGCTGCCTGTCTCGGCTCCTACGATGAGTGCCGCAGTGCTTTGGTTAGGGGTCCAGGCCACACTGTGGGGGCTCCCATCTCCCCTCTCACAGACACACGTTACTATCAGCATGTTTGCTCAATGTAGGATGTGGGCCACATATTTTATAGTCATGCTCAGCGTTGACTGCATTTAATCAACTTCAAAGTTGGTTTCCATTACTGAGCACATGCTTCTTTTAGCAGCAGTTCAAAAGATAGACAATGTATTTAATGCAGTTTCCTTGTATGTAAGACAAAGAAGGGCTCTTTCCTGCCCTGCCATGCTGAATGGGAGAAAAAACAACTCGTCTTAAAACCCCCCCCAGAGAAATATGCTACTGAGTGCAAGTCAGCCAAAAGGTTTGAAAATGCCAGTTATTTCAGACTAGTTTCCTACCAGAAGACCCAACTACACTATACATCAGCACACCTTTAGCAGCTGGAGGGAAATTATGAATAACAAGATTTAAAGGTATAACCATCAGACAGGCACTTTTTTTTTTTGGTCTCTTATCAAGATCAATGATCTTTCCTGTGCTGGACAGCAAGGCGGTCCTCCTCTGTAATTTCTGTAGTCGAACCTGTCTCCTTTCTTGAAGATTGTCATGATCATGGCATCCCCAAAGTCATCTGGGATTTCTTTATCATTCCAGATCCTTAAGATGAGGACATGGAGCTGTGATGTGAGCTCTTCGATCCCCTAGTTGAAGATTTCTGTAGGGATTCTATTTGCTCCAGATACCTTTTCGTTTTTCATCTGCTTGATGGCTGAACCATCTCCTTCCACTTGCTGAAGAGCTCCTCATGGAATCTCAGCGTAGTGCTTAGGGCATCAAGAGGCACAACTGACATGATCTTACCAACTCACAGGCTGCAAGAGAAATGCCGCTAACAACATAAACCTCTCTACATGGCCTTATTTGACCTCATGAAAGCCTATGACTGTCAAATAAGAAGCACTATAGAGGATCCTTCTGAGGTACAGATACCCACCAAAATTTGTCACCATTCTCTGCTTGCTCCATGATGGTATGCAAGTGGTGGTTCAGTAACAGATCTTTCACAGATCCCTTTGAGATTAAGATGGGAGTTAAACAAGGCTGCATCATCACTCCAACACTCCTCTCAATATTCCTTACCATGATGCTACATCTGACCATCAACAAGCTTCCAGTAGGAGTGGAGCTAAACTACTGAATGGATGGTAAACTGTTTAATCTCAGCTAACTGAGCCAAAACCAATGCTACCCCGACCTCAATCATCAAATTCTAGTACACTGATCATGCTGTAGTGTGTGCTCACGCAGAAGCAGACCTTCAAGCATTCGTTGATGTCTTTACCAAGGCAAGGTGTACAAGAAAATGGGACGTATGTTTAGAATTCAGAAGACTAAGGTCCTCCATCAACAAGCTCTTAATAAGCAGCCCCCAACTCCGGTAATTTAGATTTATGGTGAGTGTTGAGTGTTTCCCATACCTCAGAAGCCATCTCTTGCAGAAGCCTGACATAGATGAAGAAATCCAACACTGCCTCAAATGTGCAAGTGTAGCCTTCGGACACCTGAGGAAATGGGTGTTCAAAGATCACAATATCAGATCTGAAACCAAGTTCATGGTTTATCAAGCAGTCATGATCCCTACTCTACTGTACGGAGCTCAGAATTGGACAATGCACAGGAGACACCTCAAGTTGCTGGAGAAGTACCAGTGTTGCCTGCAGAAGGTCCTTTGAATCCAGTAGGAAGACAACATTAGCATCCTCTCTCAAGTAAACATCATAAGCATCGAGGTGATGCTCATCCAACATCAACTTTGCTAGGCTGGCCATATTATCCAGATGTCCGACTCAAGACTCCCGAAGCAAGTTTTATTTTCCTACTTCAGTCAAGGTGTATGTTCAAAAGGAGGGAGGAGAAAGTGTTTCAAGAACACCTCAAGGCCAACTTGAAAAAAATGCAACATCAACATCAACTTGTGGGAAACTATTGCCCAGGACTGCCCCAAACTAAGGAAGAGTCTGCTACATGGACCTCAGCACTTTGAAACCTTACAACAACAACAGGCGATGGACAAGCAGGAGTGGCAGAAACTGTGTTGCAGACCAAACCAAGAAAGCAGAGCCACCTCCATACTATACAGAAACACATGCTTGAGTTGCAACAGAACCTATTGATCCAGATTGGCTTTGTCAGCTATATTTAGACCCACAGATAAGGCAATCAAGAAAGACAAACATCCTCGACTCCAAGGAATTGCTGCTGATGATTAAGATTAAATACTTATAGATCAACACTCGACTGTTACAGACATTTGTACATTCAGTGCTAAACAGATTTAAATAACAGATCTATTATAGTAACATTTGAAGCAGTATGGTAAGTACAACCTAACTGACAGCTTGGCATAAAAATCCCCCTACCAGAGTTTCAGAGATAGGTGCACTTGGGTTTTTCCCTGAATACTACCCACTCAAGTGTCAGGATTCATGCCTTCAGCTATTCTGAATAATCCTGCAGTTCTTCCACTCTTAGCTAGGACTTGGATCACAGTACCGTGTGCATCAACTATACTTATCTAGTTGATCCAACTGGGTGGGAGACCTGCAGTTGTCCCCTTCCAGTTTCAATCATGTAAAGGATAATCAAACCACTTCCTTTAAAATAAATAACTAAATAATAAAAATCAAACTTTGTTTCAGTAAGAATAAAAGCATTGAGAGGGGAAAAAAAGTTTGTAAGACAACAATCTATATGCATGTCTCTTTTACCTAAGGGCTTATCCCACCCCATGACAGGTGGAAAACATGCCCGACTTCTTCAGATATCCCAGAAGCTGTCTGGGTCTGTCTGGTTCCCACAAACAAATCTCCCTAACTCTCTCAGCACCTTTTGCATCCTGGGCTTTTGCTCCTTTTGGCAAAACTAGTTTTGCACATTTGCTTGGGAGGAAGTAAAAAATAAATAAATAAATAAATAAATAAATAATCACAGTTAACCATTTGGGCAGTGTTCTTTAATAATCCTCATGCATTTACCAAAAAATGGTGTACCTTGAATGATTCTTTTCCTTTGCCACTGGTGTTAACATACACACTGCTATTAAATTAAATCAATATCTTTTCATAAGATATATATTCTAATATGCAGGGCAATATAATTTAAAAGTAATTTTAAAAGCAACAGTATAATTTAAATATGATTGAAGACTGGCCTACATGATCCATTTTTCTTGGTGACCACAAACTCAAAAAAAATGTTTTGTGGTACTTTTAAGTATTAAGATAGAACTATGCAAAATTAATTTAAGGTGAGAAACTACATCTCTGGGCCTATTATCTCACATAATATTCCTATTTGTATTATACTATGTACATGCTTTCACATAGTAAAATGTTATCAAAGTGTACACTCTTGCTACCTCCTCTTTAATAAATAGATATTTATATATGTTAACTTAATACTTTTGTAGGTACAAACAACAAAGAGTTTAATAAAGAACACTTCTCAGCTGCTTTGTTTACTACTTTTATGTAACATCATGTTGCAAGTAGTGTCACAAGACAATTGTTTTGCAAAAGCACAAGAATGTTTAATCTTTTGGACCCACATGGGACCCATTTTATTTGGACCCAATTTGAAGGTTGATATTTTAAGTGTTAGTACCACAAAATGGCCCCAGTTATAACATTACTAGCAAACTGCCCATCATGAATAACGGGGATGGTGGGGATGGAGCGCCACCACTCAGCACCCCTCAGTGCCACTGCTCTGCCTCTGGCCCTGTGCACCCCCCCAGCCCCTGGTATTCCCCCACCTCCTGTGTCCGGCCCTGTGTACCCCC